TGTTGGAATTGACCCCCCCTCCAAGCTCCCTCGTCATAGGCCCCCACCCCACAACGGTGCAATTCCATTGAGGGAACTGCCTCGTTGGAAGACAACCGTTTGAAGATCCTGAAGCATGGCAAAACATTGTTCTCGGGATTTCATCGCCACGTATCAACCTGACGGCTGCGTCTAGACGATCCAGAATTTTGCCAGAGCGCCATTTTGGGAATTCACCACCGCGAATCAACATAATTGCTGCACCCGCATAATCCTGAATCCGTCCAAAACACAATTTTTGGTACTGTGGCCACGGGAATCCGTGAAACGCTTACAAATGTTGAAAACGAATGTGCGCGACGCTAATGCGAGAGCCACATTTTGAACAGGAACCGCCTTCAATCCGTGAAGCTCTCGCAAATGTTTAAACGAACGCGCGCGGCGCTAAGGCGAGATCCACAGTTTGAAAACCACCCGACCTCAAATCCGTGAAACTCTTGTAACTATTAAAACGAATGTGCGCGGCGCTAAGGCGAGAGCCACATTTGAAAGCCACCCACCCTCAATCCGTGAAACTCTTGCATTTATTTTGAACGAATGCGCGCGGCGCTAAGGGGAGAGCCACATGTTGAAAACGACCCGCCCTCCATACGTAAAAGTGCTGTCATGCATTAAGCCTCAGGGTCATGAATGGTCAAGAAGTCTCAGGCGAAACGTCCGGCCCGCCCTAAAAACTGGCCTCGGGGTGTGACAGGGAAAAGTGATTTATAAGGAGAAGGAATGGAGGAGGAGGAGGAGGAGGAGGAGGAGGAGTTGGCGGAGTGGAGTGGCGGAGGAGAGGGGGATGAGGAGAAGAGGAGGAGTAGGAAGAGGGGGCGGAGGGAGAGGAGGCGTTTAGCTTTCGTATGACTTCGTCTCTATCTTCTGTACCTACGGCCGTGCTTCTTATGATTAGGGGATAGGAGGAGTAGCAGATTTTAGATAGGAAAGAGTCAACGGGAAGAAGGCACGACGGGCCCCGGCCTTGGGCCGTCGAAAAAGGAACGGCTCGGGGGGAAGAGTTGGTCCCCGAGAAGGGGTCCCCGAGAACGCCAGGGGGGAGAGTCAGAGGAGGAAGAGACACCGACCCGAAGATCCGACGCTCCCAAAAATTTGGAGCAGGCGGATTTGGCCCATTTTCCGCCTCCGGGGGCCCTCGCCGGGCCTCGGGAGCGTGAAAAAACGACGCAGGACGAGAAGCTGGCCCCAGGGAAGTGGTCCAGACCTCCGGGGCCCACGCACAGAAAAGATTGGAGCGGCTGGATGTCTCGGCAGGCGGGGCGTGGGGCCTCCTATAAGAGGGGCTCCTGTTGGGGAAGGGCGGGGGCACCGCGTTCTCGGCGGTCCGTGGGCGGTTTTTCTGCGCCCGCGCCGGGCCCCCTCGCCGCCACCACTGGGCGACGCCTCTGGCGCCACCCCGTGGCGCTGAGGAGGGGGGTGCGTGAGGGGGGGGGGGGGGCGTCGGCGGAGAAACCGCCCGCGGGCGTCCAGAAGCTTGCGTTTGTGTGCTTGTTCCGCCCCCCCGGAGGCACATCCTCCAGAGTACGCCCTCGCCGAGTCGGTGTGGGACGCATCCATCTTCGTGGGCCTACCCTGCTTCCATCACCTCGTCGACTCTCTGACTTTGATCTGCCTTCTCCTGAAGAACATGTTTCTACAGGTGTTGCTTACGACCGTTGTATTGGAGTTTATGTCCGATGACCCAGCGACACCCGAACGTTTGCAGGACTTCTTGGACTTCCGCTTGATCGCGGGACACCATGTATCTTCGTCCATCGGCGAAAAGGGGACGTCTTTGATCGCCGAGGTCTGCCGCGAGGTCGACAATGACGCTCTGCATGTTTCCACTAATCAGATGGAGTTCTGGTCTGACTTCAGTAAATACTTGACGGTTTGGGAATCATTCAATGTCAAAGGTGGGTTGTTGCTGTGCACCTTAGTGGTTCTCTTGTGGATATTCTTGATCATGAAAGAGATAAATGCCACGGTCATGTTTGTACATGCACTATTTTCGGTACCACGGGGAAGTTCAACAGAGCTTGCCAAAGATGCGGATGGCAATTTCGCATTCAAATCCATAAGTTCAGCACGGCTCTACTCCATTATGTTGCTTGTTGTAGTTCCACGTGTTGCGATCGCAGTGTTTCTGTTGGAAACCGGCTTGCTCTTCTTATGTTATACTGTGAATTTGGAGCAAATGCTCTTCAACAGTTTGGCTCTGGGATTCGTTCTGGATATTGATGAGATGATCTACCCCATATTCGTTCCCAGTCGGGTGCAACGTGTTGCCAGCAGGATGAGGCCGTTCGAGCTAAAAGAATTTACCGAGTTCGCCCCTGGTTCGGCCGTGGCAACAGCAGCGCTGGGAGTCGTTCAGCGTCTACCTATTCGTCTCTTATCGCTCTTTCTTGCATTATTTTCTACAGCATTGACAGTTACATTCATCCTGGTCCCGATGGCCGGAAATATGGAGATCGCGAAGCATATCTTGTGTTCTGGTGACGTTGATTTCGTCTACGCCGTTGCCCCCGACACTGGCGTCGTGTTTGCCACAAGGGTGCACTCTCCGTCCGATGATAACGCATGGGATGACGTGATCGAACAGACGATCTTGCAGTTTACAGGACTCCACGACTATTTGCACGAAAGCGATATCGGCACACAGCTGATCTCAGACTACTGGCCACAGGACACGAGTGCGGGGATCATGTACAACACCGATACGAGCGTAGCTGATGTCTAATGGCCTTCGGCACATCCCGCCACCGTGCCTGGCTTATGGGTATGAGGCCTATTAGATGTTCGTTAGAATCTCGTGGGAGGCCTCTCGGGGGCCTCTTGGAGGCAGTTTGTACGCTGATTTGGGGCCTCTTGGGGCTTCCTGGGGGCTAACAAAATATTTGATGTTCGAGTCGTGATCCCTCTCTTGGGCCCCTTTTGGAGCCGTCTAGGGGGCCCTCTTGGGCCGTCTTGGGCGCCTCTTGGGCCGTCCTGGGGCGCTCTTAGACTGTTGTTGACCCCTTTTTGGGGGGCCTCTTGGGCCTATTTGGGGTGGTCTGGGGGGCCTCTGGGGGCCGTCTTGGAGCGTCAGAAGGCCGAAAAGGCGAGAACGCCAAAATCTTCAAATACCGAAGGACAAGCAACGCTGAGGCCTCTTGGGGCGGCTCGGAGGCCTCCTGGGCCATCTTGAGGCCATCCTGGGCGTCTTGGAGCTCGGGGCGCCTCGGGGCCCTCTCGGGCCGCCTGGAAGGCCTCGCGGGGCCCTCTGGGCCAGTCCTCGGGCCTCCGTGGGCCCAAGGCAGTCCTGCGACAAGAGGCGGGGGAGCCCAGGGGAACCGCGACGAGGCCCGCCAAATTTGAGAATCTGGGCCGTGGACCCCTCGTAGACTCGGCAGGGCTGAAGACGGGCTCCAGTCGAGTGTTGCTAGAAGTGCCCCTGGCCCAAGGTACCCCCAGGATTTCCAAGGAGGCCACCAAGGCCTCCGGAGCACCCCTCACGAGGCCCAGAGGGCCCCAGGGGCTCCAAAATGGAGCGAAAAACTGAGGGCACCTTGGGCCAGGGGCACCTTTGGCAACCCCCGATCCAGGGATTGGGCACAGAACCTGAGGACACGTGCACAGAGGCACGGTGGCGGAGTATGGAGCTGTGGACTGGATACGAGTTCATCAAGACAATGTCAACGTCGGACGTCCAGTCTAGTACATGGTTGGCACGCTGTGAAGATTTCTCACGCCGAGAAACGAATCAAGACTCTTTGGCGGTCAAGGCGTTCCTGAAAGACGCAACAGGCGGACTGGTAGATAGTTGTGCTGGGGGAGAGGATGCAGGCATTGCGGGATGGTACAGCATGACCAGATTCAGGGGCCTTTGCCCGGAGACTTCAGGCTGTTCCAAGGTGTGGTTGTTTTTCTCTCATCCTCGTTGGGGTTGCCCTGGCGAATGCTTCTCTGACAACAGAATCGACCAACCATTCAGCGATATGTTGAAAATTGCTAGCTGCGTGGACGATAGCACTGAGACATGGAGGACCGAAGCGATAGTAGAGTACGTCTCTGGATTTTCTCAATACGTGCAGAAGCGCCCGGGCTTCTGGGCAAGGCTCACGAGCACAAGCACGAGCGCAATTATACAGGGCGTGATCTCGGCCTACGAGGACGCGACGGGTAGCACGTCCAACCAGACCGTCGCATCTGTGCAAGAAAGCATTTGGCATGGTATCACCTTTGAAAGGATGGCTCAGGGTATTTACGAGCTTGCCCCAGGATTGCCAATATACGACAGTGACGGCGTGAAGCTGACGGGCTGCGCTCTATGGACCGACGCTCTCTTCGAGGACATCGTGGACGCGAATTTGTGCAGTGAGAGTCACCACCAGTCAATCGCCTTCCTGTGCCCGGAGCGCTGCAGGTGCGTGATGTATTGGCAGAGGTCTTGCCCTCTGTCTTGTTTGTCTAACCTGACTGAGCTGACTTGACTTGCCTGGCCAGCGAGTGCGAGCGCACTGCTGGTTCTCTCACCAAAGGCGATCCAGGCCAGCCAGAGAGCGCGTGCGGCGCGCCAAGAGCTATCCGCCGTGGCTTCGAGCCCTGCTCACGCAGTTCGAGCTGTCCCCATTCTCGCGACTCTCTCTCTCTCTCTCGCCCTCAGCCTCTGACGCAGCCGTGCCAGGAGACTCGCAGGCTTCTGAAATCTGCCCTTGATCAACGCGCTCCACTCGGCCGTGAGCGGACTGGACGTGGTAGTTCCACACATATCTTCGGCTGCCGCCTGCATGCTCCGTTCGTGCCAACGCACCTTGGACGCACACGGCTGGCTCTCTCTCTCTCTCTCTTTCTCTCCCTCTTTCTCTTGCATGTTCTTTACTCTGCGTTTCATGATCTCAGCCAGGGCCACCCCCCCGAGGGGTCAAACTTGCCTCGCTGACGCGGTTCGCCACGGGTCGCGGCGCTTTCGGCGCGCCGCGCTTACCTGCGACCAGCATCGGCTCGGGGCTGCTGGCGAGGGTGGCGCCCACTCCCCCCCCCCCCCGCGCTTACTGCGAGACGCAAGGTGGTGTGTTCATTAACCGCCATGACAAAGTCAAGACGGGCTGTCATCTTGAGTTCTCGGCTCCGGAGGGAAGCGCCCAGCGCCAAAGGCAGCCGAGCTGGAAAAGGACGGGGGGGAGGACCCTGGCAAGTTCGCCAGGCTCCCGAAAATATACTCTGTCAAGATCGGGCCAATAGTTTCGCAACCCTGGCTGCGGCCTCAGTCGGCCTATACGCGTGACCATGTGGTGCCTGGCGAAAACTCCAGCTCGTTTCCATCGTGTTGGGGATGCCGATGTCGGCGTTGCGGGGGAGCGTGCCGATCTCGGCAAGGGCTGGGGCCCCAGAGGAACCCGAAGTTCGCTCCTTCCGCTGGCCCATATTGCATCACGTTTGCCCTATTGGCGTGCACACGGCGAGTTGCGGAGGAGGCCTCTCGATGGTTTTCCTCGCCGTCGCCTCTCCGAGCGCCGCCGACCTTGAGAACACGTCCCCGCGCACTTGCTTGCAATCTATCCGGTGTGATCCAATTAGTTTAATGCAATCGATGTGGTGCAATGACGGTGTGCCCCATGTGGCGCAATCTACGTGGTGCAAAGCAATGCATTGCAATTCAAAGCAAAGCAATGCAAAGAAATGCCAAGTAACATGAAGCCATGCAAAGCCATGCAAAGCAACGCGAAGCGATGCAATGCAGAGCGATGCAAGCCAACGCCGAGGGAACGCCACCGGAATGCGAAGCAGTGTCATGCAGTGCAGAGCAGTGCAATGAGACGCAGCGCGATGCAGTGCCATGCAGAGCAGTACAGAGCAGTGCAGGGGAGAGCAGCGCGGCGACGAGCCGGCGAGCGGTGGCGGGCGGCCGCAGGGCGGCCAGCCCGACAACATCTGGGCCCAGTGTGATGGGCGGCGACGGGCGGCGGCGGAGGGGGGAGGGCTTCTTAGAAGCACCCCTGCAAGATGTAAGGCCGGCGCCTTCTAAGAAACAGCCTCCTTCTAGGAAGCCTTCCCCCTTCCTTCCACCCCCTTGTGCGCACTGCCAAGTTTGGGCAAAAGTCGCGCTCGCGCGCGGAACCTCGCTGCGATGTCCCCAGGAACCGAGCTCGCGCGTGGGCCTTCCTCGCAGCTTGTTCAGGCGCCGCGCCCTCGGCACTCAGGAATCACACTCGTTGCTCTGGACTTCCTGACGATTTACTTGGGAATCGCACTATCGCTGCAGACTTCCTTGCGATTCATGCAGGACTGACGCCTCACCGACCCGCCCGCTCGACCCGACTGTTTGGGCCCGCCCACCCGACCCGTACGTTAGGGTCCGCCCGCCCGACCCGCCCGTCTGGTATTGCCGCTTGTTTTCCTGCTCCGAACTTCCTCCTGCTAATCTCCCTCGTGCTCTTCATTCTCCCTCCTCCTTGTCCCTTCCCGCCTCCCTCCCCTCCCGCACTCCTCTCATCCCCGCTATATATTTTTGTCCTGTCTCCCTCGTCTCCCTGTTTCAGGGGCTGCGGCAGCCACGTGGCAGGCATGAAAGATTCAACCCCCAAGGGGGGGGGGGCACGATCGAGGACGAAGAGGGCGGGCATCGAGGGCTCGGGGCACGCATGTCGATGGACACGCGCGCAGACTCGAGTGAACAGTCTTGAAATGACTGTTGCTGCCGCCGCCGCCGTCGTCGCCGCCGTCGTCGGTGCCGCCGCCGCCCCCCCCCAGGACCCGGGCCCCCGACGCCGTCCTCGTGTCACGGCGCGGGTTCCGCGGGGCATCCCGGCTCTCCCTCGCGGGCCCAGCGGTCTCCCGCCCGAGGCGCTGCTCGGCGCTCCGCGAGCCAGGACGGGGCCCCCGGATGCCGAAAAGGATCGGACACTCCCGATCGCAACGATCGCAACAGCAACGATCGGACAGCTCTCGATCGCAGCCGGCATAGCAATGTGTATTTGCACAGGTTCGTCAGAGCGCTCATTCCTACGAAGAGCGGGCGCCGCGATCTGGGCACTGCGCGGAACTCGTTCGAAGCCGAGCCCATCTCCTCGGAGTGGGGCTGGGCGGAAGTGGTCGCACGGGCAGGGCAGATGGCGGGAGGAGCAGGGCAGCACAGCGCAGCACAGCGCAGAGGGTGGGCGACGGCACCTGGGCCCAGCAGGAGAAGAAGGACAGCCGTGACGGTAGCGGCAACAGCGCTCCCAACACTCCATGCCCAAGTGAAACATTTCGTAAGTATTCCTTATTTGTTTGATTTTAACATAGGATTCATAAATATGGCTATGGTACACATTGATATATGATTTTGCTTGGGGACCCGTTTGGACAACGATAGCGGTAGCGATGCCAACGATCCCGCCCGTCTTTTCCACGACGGAGGGAGCCGCGCCCCGCCGCCCGCCCCCCCCCCGGGCCTCCGCGCAGCTGCTGGCGGCGAACACCTTCGCCAAGCCGGGCGTGATACCGCCCACGGTGTTGCCGCCCGCTGCAGGCCAGGCTGCCCTGGGGGCACGACGACGGTGGACTCTCGTGGCGTCCGTTTTCGTTTCGTCCGCTTTCGACTCGTCCTCTTGCGTTCCTGTCCTCTTTCGTTCCGTCCTCTCTCGGTTCCGTCCTCTCGCAAACCCCGGACGAATCGAAATCGGACGACCCGAAATCGAACGACCCGAAGCGGACGAGACGAAGCGGACGACATGGGCCATGGGACCTTGACGAGATGAGGCGGAATCCGCGACGACGACCCCAGGCACACGAAGAGTTCATTTTCTGTTCCGCTCGGCCCTGGGGGACCGCTGTCGAGCCCCAGGACTGCAGCAAAATCTGTCCAGCCGGGACAAGAGAAAACACTAGGTAGCGGGTCGAGACTAGGTAGCGGGACGACGAGGATGGCGACGACGACGACGGCGACGACGAGGGTGGCAGTGACGACGACGACGACGACGACGACGACGACGACGACGACGACGACGACGACTGCCACGACGACGACGACGACGGCGACGACGACGACTGCCACGACGACTGCCACGACGACGACGACGACGGCGACGACGACGACGACGACGACGACGGTGGCGAAGACGACGACGACGACGATGACGACGACGGCGACGGCGGCGACGGCGACGGCGACGACGACGACGACGACGACGAGGATGACGACGACGACGGCGGCGGCGGCGGCGGCAACGACGACGACGACGAATGCCACGACGACCGCCACGACGGCGACGACGACGACAACGATAACGACGACGATGACGACGAGAATGGCGACGACGACGACGGCGACGACGGCGGCGGCGACGACGACGACGGCGATGACGAGGATGGCGGAGAGAAACGACGACGACGTCGACGACGACGGCGACGACTGCCACGACGACCGCCACGACGACGACGACGACGCGGACGACGACGACGATGACGACGACGACGACGACGATGACGACGACGTCGACGACGACGCCGACGACGGCGACGACGGCGACGACGGCGACGGCGACAGCGACGGCGACGACGACGACGACGGCAACGACGACGACAATGACGACTACGAGAGTGGCGACGACGACGGCGACAATGACGACTACCATAATAGCGACGACGACGAGGATGGCGGCGACGACGACGACGGTGGCAACGAGGATGGCGACGACAACGACGACGACAACGACGAGACGACGGCGACGACGACGACGATGATGGCGACGACGACGACGACCTCGACGACGACGACGACGACGACGACCACGAGGATGACGACGACGGCGACGTTGACGAGGATGGCGAAGCCGAACGATGATGACAACGACGACGGAGGCGGCGACGACGACGACGACGACGATGAGGATGGCAAAGCCGAACGACGACGGCGACGACGGAGGCGGCGACGACGGCGACGACGAGGATGGCGAAGCCGAACGACGACGACGACGGCGACGACGACCACGACTACGAGGATGGAAACGACGAGGACATCGACGACGATGACGACAGCGACAATAACGGCGACGATGACGACGAGACTATCGACGACGACGACGACGACGACGAGGGCGGTCACGCCGACGACGAGGACGGCGATGGCGACGACGACGATGGCGACGACGACAATGACGACGACAGGGATGGCGACAACGACGACGCCAACGACGACGACGACGACGAGGATGGCGACGACGACGGCGGCAACGACGACGACGACGCTGGCGACGACGACGAGGACGACGACGACGAGGACGGCGACGACGACGACGACAAAGACGGCGACGGCGACGGCGACGGCGACGAGGAAGGCGACGACAAAGACGACGACGATGACGACGACGGCGGCGGCGGCGGCGACGACGACGACGAGGATGGTGACGACGATGACGACGACAACGACGACGACGACGACCGCGACGACGATGGCGACGACGACGACGACGAGAATGGCGACGACGACGGCGGCAACGACGACGACGAC